AACCCACCATCGGAAGGGACGTTAAAATGTAATATTGATGCCGCTATGTAAGATGATACGGTGGGTTTTGGAGCAGTCTTCCGGGACCATGCAGGGAGGTTTGTAGCAGCTTATGGAGGTCAGTTGATCAGCAACCAAGATCCCTATCTTGTCGAGACGTTGGCCGTAAAGGAAGTTCTTCCCTGGCTCAAGAGTCGTAATTTGAGGAACGTTATTGTAGAATCAGTTTAAATTTTTGCATTAGTTTCAATTCTGTTCGTCATGACTTTTCATAAGTTGGACTAATTATTAAGCAATGTCATTCACTTGCATGTGACATTGCGAACATTGTGGTTCACCATGTCAAGAGGTCAGCAAATCACGTAGCTCATGTGCTTGTACGAGCACCAAGTTCTCCTTCTGCCCTTGGGGTTTGGGATATGTCCCTGCCCAGTTGTATTTCGGCTTTTTTCGATGAGTTAATATAAGTTGTTTGAGCTTTGGTTTTCAAAAAATAAAAAATAAAAAATCCGATAATGTTGACAAGTCGCAATCTCAAATTGTTTTGCAAAATAAGGGTAATGAAGGGGAAGTTATGGATATGTTTGGACTTAATAATTTGTGCTTTTATGTTTATAATAATGTTGTTATGGTATTGTTTTTATATACTTCCGATGATAACAATGTCATCTACATAAACCACTAATAAGATAATACCTGCTTTAGAACCTTTTTAAAAAACATAATGATACCAATAATAAGATAATACCTGCTTTAGAACCCTTATAAAAAACATAATGATCATACTTTCCTTCCAAGATGCTAAACCTCACAATTGTTTAACTAACGTTCCCAAAGCACAGGGGCTTTGCTTTAGGCCATACAAAGATTTGCGATGTAAAAAAAACATTAACATACTCCCACTAAGCATATAAACACATGTGGTTGCTCTTGTAGACCTCTTCTTGAAGACACCATGTAGAAATGCATTCTTAATGTCTAGTTGATGTAAGGGCAAATCATACATGAGTAACCTAACAAAGGTCAATTTTGTGATAGGAGAAAATTGGTCATTGTAATCAATACCATAGGGTTGTGCATACCCTTTAGCAACTAGACGAACCTTGAATTGAACCACTGACTCAAAATTAACTTTCTAGAAACACATATTTGCATCTAATCGCCTTCTTCCCTGGAGGTAAATCCACCAAATTTTATGTATCATTGAAATCTAAAGCATTCATTTCTTCATTCATGGTATTACGCCAACTAGAGTGGGATAAGACCTTTTTGAAAATTTTAGGAGTTGTTATGAGGTCAAGTGAAGCAATAAAATATGAGTATAAGAGACAAAAGACGAAACAAAATAAATACATGATCTTTTACCTTTACGGAGAGCTATTAACAAGTTACCTGGAACTTCCGACGAAGAAGCCGACTCATAACATGAGACGACTGTTCTGTCAAGAATAGAAGCTAAAGAAGTTTTCGAGTTGAGAGTAACTATCTCTAGAAGAACAAATCATTATCTTACCCTTGATTATGAGAAGTGGAAGGAGATGATGAAAGAACATCTTGAAGGAGATGATGAAAGAACATCTTGAAGGAGATGATGGAGCAACACCTTCATGAAAAGTTACATCAATAGGCTCCAGATATCTTCCCGTAGTTGGAAGTAATACTTATACCCTTTTTTTGACACAAGTATCCCAAAAAGTGCACTTTAGTGATTTTGTGTCTAACTTCGTAAAATGAGAGTGAACATCTCTTACAAAACAAGTACACCCAAGCATTTTTGGTGGAATACGAAACACATGCTTTTTGTGGTAAGAGAGTGATATGTTGTTTTTCCATGTAACACTGAGTTGATAAAAAAAAAAAAAAACAAGTAGAAACTGCATATGCCCAAAAGTGTTTAGGAACTTGCATTTGGAACAAGAGAGCTTGAAGAATCTCCAATATGATTGGTGTAGAATACCATGTTCAAGCATATAAGACGAAAAGGGACCAAAAAAAAAAAAGAAAAAAAAAAGATGTACACTTTGCACTATCACTCCTCAAAACAAGAACATAAATATTAAGAGAAATTACCATTTTAGTCCCTAATTGTTTCCCAACTTTCAATGTAGTTCCTAATTTTCAATTTCAAATTTTTTTTTTTTAAACCACAAAAGTGGATGATATTATTGCTGTAAAAATGCAACTATACAATCATGAGGGACTTTGTCCCAAGTGTTCGTACCAGCATGAGAGCCACATACCCTAACTAAAGTGTAGGCGATCTAGTTCGCTGACCTACTAATGTGAATCCTAAGATATACTGTCAAAATTTGACATAAGGTTAATACAAGATTGAACAACAAAGCCTAAGGTAGTTCTATTTGCAACATGATATTTCCAAACAATTAATTTGATCCTCAAATTATTTAAAATTGTCAATTAAACCATTCGAGGATCATATAAAAAATTTTAAAAATAAAAAAATTACTATTTTGGTCCTTCAAAAGGATTTAAATGAATTAAACAATTAAATGATTAAATTAGTTGAAATTGAAAACTTAACAGTGAAAAACAAATAATAGACCAAAATGATGATAAATATTAAATTGTGTTTTTATCTTACCACAAAAAGCACGAAATGAAAAAACAAATTCAGACTGACTTCTCATAACATATAACAAAATCATACGAGAATAATAGTCAACAAAAGTAACAAAATACTAAAACACTGATTTGGAGATGACACAACTAGGACCCAAACATTATAATCAAACTCATGACCATCCTCATACGAAAATCTTGTTCTACCCACGCCACGCCACCCCTGCAAAGCACTCATAGACTCTAGTTAAATTGCGAAAATGTTGACATGTAAAGTCTACCATAAAATCTCTAATGCATATACTATAGGAACTTGCATGCTCGTATCAGCTTATGCACTGTAACAGTACAATGCATGAATTGACACATTTACATTGTAATATTTATATTTTTGAACATTTTTGCGGGTGAATGGCTATCACAAAATTCTAGGAAAAGAAATATAATACTAAAACAAATTGGACAAAATTACATGATGGTAACTCCCAGAGGCAGCAAATGGGCAGCAAGCCACCTGGTTTTAAAAGAATTGAATTTCAAGCTCTTTTTTTTCTTTTTCTTTTTTTAATAATCCTTTTAACCAAGTTTTTTATCATATCCTTTGAGGTTAAGATTGAACCATTTTTTCTTCTTGGATTCTGAACTTCCATCTTCTGGACTTTCCGCCTTAAAGTCGTCACCAGGAGATCTACTGCTACTTTCATTACTGAAAAGCCCACTCCCATTACCACCAACGGTAACAACTGCCCTTGTGATGGTGAAGGCAGAATGGATGGTGTCTCGTTGTTTCAGAAGTTCCTCAACCTGTTGGTAGAAAAAAAAAAAAAAATCAATTGAGTAAAATATAAAATGCAATTTTTATGGCTTAATGTCACACATTCAGACAGACATTCTTCCTGATTAAGGGTTGAAAGTACCACAAGATAGCAAAGCAAAATATTTCATAGAAACATCATGGGGGGAAACATTTGAGTAATTGACAGAGAGGAACAAGGATTTGATGAACTTACTGACTGCTTCTCCTGGCTGTATCTGTTGGTGACTTCCTGGAAACGCGCCAAAGCCTGCAAACAAAAAATTGACAAAAGATTAACCGGAATGTATACAGATGCAATCACTAAGCACCAAGCTAGAGAGCAGGCAGGCAGGCAACCTTTCTATACTCTGTCTCAAACTGTCGAAGCTCATTTCTCTTGCTTAGAATCTGAGCCTCAATATCCTTCAGCTTACTTGTTGTATCCTCATATGTCTTGGAACAAAGAGCCTCAATTGTGTACGTTGCAGGTTTAAAGAAGTTATCTCCTGCACATAAAAAAAAAAAATAAATGAGTCCTAGGCAAGTTTTAACCATTCTGTGTAAATAATGAGTCACAGTAACCAAAAGAGAATAATTGAGTCCAGACCATAAACAGCAAAAATATGAGTGCCAGCCTTTAGCTCTGAGATTTCACAAGGTTGAAGGCCTTCCAGCCTTTTGAAAAAAGCAGCTTCTGGATCCTTAGCCATTGCTAACTACAAAGAAAAACACATTTATAAAATATGATACACCCTTGAAATTGTTTTGAAATGAAAAGATGTTAATATACACACCGCATTTACTGTTGAATCCATTCTATAAACCTGAAAATGCAAGAAATACATCCCTGCTGATGTCACCTTCCCTGCTTTTTCACTATCTTCCTGTTTTCATTGACAAAACATCAGGTTTATTAAGTCTAGACTAGAGAAAAAAATCAATAAAAAAATGTCACATAAAAACAAGTTCCTTAAATCAGTAAACATGCGTTGGATTCCTATGTAACATTTAATCTTTATTTTTATTTATTTATATAAGCAATAACAATTGTAATTAGGAAAAAGACACGGAAGCGTTTACAGCATTGCAAAAGTTCTTATTCATAATTCTAAGCTAATGTTGAATTTAAAAAGTCCATGATATAATATACAACATTTACAGCCATTTTAATCTAATATGCAGGACAAGAAAACCTTTTTAACCAACATTAGTTTCAACAACAGAGTCGTCAAAATGGAATTCCCCTCAAATATGCATGTTTAAAATATTGAAAGTACCGCTTTTTAATAACACTACACCCATCGGAGGCCATGATATGAAGCTTGTTGAATTATGAAAACTAGAAACCTTAGTGTAGCCCAAGTTTGAACCTAACCTATTATTAGTTAAGGCCATAAAGTTCCTATATAGGCATGTCTAACTTCTTATCTTAGAATGCATGCAATCTAGTGCAATATATTATTAATACAATCATATATTATTCTTTCTGGATCACATATTTTTCTTCTGCCTAACTAGTGGGCAGTGATTACTCTCCTACCCACCAAACCTTTCAATCCCTCAAATTTCAACATCGTATTAGACCCTAGATGCAAATCTATACATTTTCAATAAAAAAATTTAGTTTTTTTCCCGAGATTTTCTACTCATCATAACGGCCAATTCTTATTCCAATTTCCAACCCGTTCCAGTGGTTTTTTGAAAATCAACACAACCAAATTCTTCAAGATGCTGTCACGCCCTATCACCAAAGAACCCATCACTGGAGTACTGGTGACTAACTGCCAGATCTCACAGTCAGTTTTTCAGCCAGATCTCCTTCTCTAGTGGTCCAATCACCTTACTGCAAACACCATTGGACTCATTTCCCTTCAGCAATCAAGCCTATAAATTTCGGAAACTGCCTTTGCTATTGGTCCAATCACCTTACTGCCAACACCACTGGACTCATTTCCCTTCGGCAATCAAGCCAATAAAATTTCGGAAACAGCCTTTGCTGCCAGCATCACGGACCGGCACGTGGCTGAGGCCACCTTTGATGACTGTCTCAGGAAAAAATTTCAGATCCCTTCTTTGCCATTTTTCAGTCTTTCTAATGCAATTTGAAGGTTTTTTGCCACCTAGAATATTCTATATTTTTTGGCATTGTCATGTATGTTTCTTTATTTCCAATGTGCCATCTTTATTCCCCAAGGGTGTCCAACTTTGGCACTACCATATTCTATTTCCAAAAGCTGTTTGTTAAACCAGTGTTTTTTTTTGCTAAAGGTTTCACTTAATCGCTTTGGGGCTATCTTCATTACTATGAGCTAGATGTATCCCTTGTTCGGTTGTTCCTGCTCTGTTTCACCTCTATCACAATTGATGGGCAATTTGACATTTGTCCTAGAGTTCTTGTGTTTCTGTGTGATTGAGGTTGTTCGTGTTCAGTTCCATCCTTTGCACTTCCATTTTCATTCCCAAGAGTCGTGCATAATGTTGTGTCTTCCGAAACCATCCAGCACTATTATCTATCTTCTAGTCACATATTGGCCCTGTTTGGTAAAAAATTGGCCTATAGGCTAATTTAAGCTTATTTGACCATTATTAATTGTTTGATTTAGTTAAAATCTCAATATAAATGTTTGGTTAATTAGCTTTTTGCAACTCCAAAAGGCTAAAATTTAAAAAGCTACTCCAAGCAACTTTTTCAATTAGCTTTTTGAGAAAAGAAATTATACCAAACAGCTATCAACTAACAGCTAATTTACCAAACACTTTTCTACAATCAGCTAATGTTAGCAACTATTTATACCCTTTAATTAACACAATCAGCTAACAGCTAACAGCCATTTTACCAAACAGGGCCATAATCTTCTTTTGTAGTTTTGAGTAAGGTGGAGTGCTTGTTATTCAAGCTTGGAAATTCTAGATGTTCTAGCTTGAGGAGTGTTGAATTATAGAAACTAGAATTAATTAATTAATTAATTCCAAAAAAATCACTACAATTCTCAATTAATTAATTAATTATGGATTTAATTGTCATTGAAATCCAAATTTAATTGTTTATTTCCACTCAAATTAATTTATAATGCATTATTATTATTAGTTAAACCCCAAAATGGAAGAGGGAAAAAAATCACTGCAAATCCAAAGTAGGTAAATATATTTATTTACCCAAAATTTTTTTTACTACAAATCCCCATTGTTTAAAATATTTTAACAATATATAACAATGATTAATTTCTAGATATTTAAAATTAATATTTTCTAGAAACAAAAATATTATTTAAACATGTAAATATTATACTAAAATTAAAATTATATATATGAATATGTATGTATATATAAAAAAATATAAATCATCAATCAATATGATTGTGCTTTTCATAGAATTAAATATAAGAAAAAAATCACCAATATAATTCATACATACAATTAAATTATTTATTTAGATCACCTATTTAGCTCAAATTAATCAAAATTATTTAAATTAAGAAAATACAACTAAATAAGGAAATCAGAAAATTAAATACTACTATTATCTATTTATATCACTTTACTGTTAAATAATTCCAAAAAATATCACTGTAAATCCTAATTAATTTAATACTTGTAAACAATTTCAAAAACCCAAAAAAAAAAAAAATAAAAAAAAAAAAATATTTTAGTCATCCTGATTTCTCAGACCAGAAGAAAACCATATCTCCAAATTATTTATTAATACAAAAAGCATGGCACTGATGCATTTATTTATGGTATGCTGATAATAAGACTCCCTTATAACAATCAATAGAGGAAGGGATTAATAATAAGCAAATGTTAGAAACTAAGATTGCAATACCTGCAAGGCCAGCCCATAACCTCCATTTATATCTTGCTCAAAATAAAGTAGCTGCAACACAAACAACAGGTGAAATGCAATTTAGTATCTTAGTATGCTACAACTGCAGGTAAATTAGATGCACACAGCACATATATCCAATTTTGAAACGGACTACGAGATAACTATTGATTATCACTGTTGGATGATAAATAATGTATGAATTTACCTTAAATTTGCTTTGAGCAGCTGAGGTTACTCTAACTACAATCCCTGAAACAGCTTGTTCCTCGCTAATTGTTATACCAAAAAAATGAGCATTTTGCTTCTCGACCTGCAAGAAAACTTGAGTGAGCAACTAGCAAAAGCCTAGTGACAGTTCCATTTAAAGAAATTTAGAAACAACAAACCTTTGCACTAAATGATGTTCCAATTGGAAGAGGCCTGATTGTGACAGTTCCATTTAAAGCCTCCTCAAGAACATTAGCGGAAATGGTAGTCTTAATAGGGACTCCCAACTTGCTATCCAGAGAAGTAAATCAAATGTTACCAAATCAATCACGAGAATATTTTAGATACCAAGTTTTTGCAAAAGAATACCTGAATAAAGCTGCAAACACTGTGTTAACAGTTCCAAGGTTGGATAAATCAACTTCCATATCCATTCCATCAACATCTAGAGCCTTAAACATTTAAAATATCAAAGTTCCATTAATTGACAGATGCGGAAAATTACTAAAAGAACCACAATCAGTAGAAAGTTATAATGCAATTATTAGAAAGAATAAAACTGAAACAAATTTATTTATGCTCTAAATGGTAAAAACAATAATGTAATTTCAACTGTTTTAAGCAATAATATAATGAGTGCTACTAATTTTGAAAAGATGATAGATTATGGCTTTAAATAAAGTATGGTTACTTGTTAGAGATCCATAAAAACTGCCATCAAAACAAATTTACCAAACTAAAATCCAGAAAAAGTAAGATTATGCATTCAGATGATAACATGAGAAGCAGAACTGGGAGTTAGAATGTTAGATTCTAACATCCTTGAGATCAGGCATGTTAAAGAGACTGCCTTCAATTTAAGATTTTATGATTTGTTGTTCCACCTTTACCCAAATAGATGTAGACATGTAGTTATCTACACATGTTTATGTCCATAAAGCTGCCTGGCCTCAGATGTTAGTTAAGGCAATTAGATTTAGAAACTGCAAGTTTAGTTTTTCTCAGTTCCAAAAAGGAACCAACACAATAAATTAAATTCAGTCTGGCAAGGTCAGCAGAAATTGTTCTGGCTTCTTGAATATAAATTGCATATGCTAGGACTATGATTCTGTGCCTCAAACAAATGTGCAAGATGCATAGCGGGTCAGATGCAGTTTTAGATTTCTCACCCCAAAACCCATAGGGGCAAAGAAAAAAATACAAAACCCACTATTCTGACATTGATAGACTTTACAGAAACAAGTTGAGTTGCTTCCAGAGTAGAATCTAATTAATGAATAGCTATTTCCTAAACTCAAGGTTTCAGCAAACTAGCAAGCAAAATATCTCATAACAAAACCAAAGGTTGTTGATGCTTTAACTGAACATTTCATATCACAACTACTGAAGAGCTATAATCCTTAGTTAAAAGACTTTTTTAGGCATTGCTCTTAGACAAAATTTAAAAATCAGGTTAGTCTAGTAAACAAGGGCTTTACAACTGGGTGTACATGCAACAGTCAGAGATGACAAAAGAATTGCAAACTGAGGTAGTTACACTTAGCATTCCACCATAAAATTAAGAAAGCACCTCAAATCCAGCCATATCATATCGCCTCCTTTTCTCAGGATCAGATAAAATGCCATACGAATATGCAACCTCCTTGAAATGTTCTGAAGCCTCAGGATTGTCAGCATTTTTATCAGGATGATACCTGCATAAATTCAAGCAAATAAATCATATATAAAAATATCATTGAATCAGAAAATTCCCAAACACCATATTCCAACCTTTGCAATTATAGAAATTTCCTCCACCAATCATCCCCAGGTTTACAGCCAACTCCAATTACACCAAATTCACTAATACCAAGCTTCAAGTACCCATGTCAACATACTTTCAGCACTTGGATATAAGTCAAGAACACCTCTAACCACATTAACAAAACTTTCACAAAATTGATAGTCACGTCACGTAGAATTTTGGAAGTAACAATTCAGCTTAAACAATTGTCTAATTCCTCACACTTAACAAAATATAAACTCTCAGAGAAGTTTTTATAATTCCAAGTAATTCATATTAGAACTCATCAATTTAAAATGTTTGGATACATATACTATCAAACTATCAAACAACACAATTAACTTCTTTAAAAAAAATAAAAATAAAATTAAAAAAAAATTATAGAAGAAGGAAACTTCACATACTTGAGAGCAAGTTTTCTGTAAGCTGTTTTTATCTCTTGATCGGAAGAATCCTTCGTAACACCCAAAACCTCATAGGGATCTCTCCGCAACGATGGGGCTGACGACCCCTCGATTTTCGAGCCACCCATCGGAATTTTGCCCACTTCCAGAAACCTTTCTCCTTGAGCTATCTATTCGATTCTAATTACCCAATAAGCCTTCCGAACATAAAATCTCCCTATTTCTAGCCTGAAAATCTACCAGCATTGACCAAATATTTTTCACAAAATGCAGAGCATTGAATCCCTTGTTTTTTCTTTGGGATTAATGAGAATTATTGAACATTTAACTGATAAGATATAAAGAAAACAGTAGCAGGTCTACTTTACAAGGATGAAGGATGTGAAGTAGATAATTATTAGACATACAGATCTGGTTATGTACAGAAACAGAAAATTAGGGTTTTGAGAAATTTACAGAGGATGTGAATGATTTGAAATATGATCTCAAATAAGAGGAACAGAGAGAGAAAGGGGTGACCTTCACTTTTTGCTTGTGTGCGTGAAAGAAATGATATTCTATTATACCAGCCAATTTTTGGACATGATTTATTATAATAATAATAAGAGAAAATTGAATCTTTGATCCCTGAGTTATGTCCAAGTTTCGATATAGGAGTTATGATCGTATTCATTTTTAGTTCTTCAATTATAAATAAAGTGACGCATTTGGTCTCCGACCGTTAAAATCGATAGAAAAATTAAAAAATATTTAAAATTTGAGGAGTAAAGTAGAAATTCACATTTTATTCTCCTTCTTATATCAAAATCACTTTCACAACATTATTTTTCACTTCTTAGCCTCTTATTTTAAGATTGTTCAGTTCTAAAAGCATTTCAATAACTTTAGTATGACTTGTTAGGAACCTGGCTCTGGTATAGCAAACTTATTTAGCACAAACAAAGAAACACTTGATCATTGTCTTCAGACGTGTGAAACACATTATCCTATCAATTTTCAATTTTCTTTATAAGTAACAAAGGTAATCAAGCTAGAACTTTTGAGATATAAAATGGTGTCAAATTTCTCATGTTGCATTTATAAAAATTCACCAACGGAATAACTTGAAATTTTTAGTATGTAAAATTTTTTCATATGCAATATTTTAGTCAATAATCGTTTTTAGAAGTTACAAAATTTTTTAAAATTTTTATAACTCAGTCCTAGGTTCTCCATTCATTACTCTGGTTAAGAAGACAGTGGAGGTGAAGGATATATATATATATATATATATATATATATATATATATATATATATATATAT